GACAACAAAATATAAGTGAAGATCACAATAGCCGTAAAGATAATGATGTGAAACAACAGCCAAGCAGGATATATCAATAACTTTCTCTCCAACTTTCCTCTGGAAAAGTTTGTGCCAATTTTTTGACAATTTTTTCAAGAATGGTATTGACTCAAGCTTTCAAACGCAAAATGAATCACTCAATTCCGAGTTGATATAAGGAGTCAAAAAATTCTAAAATTGGCCTGAAAAACTAGAATAAGCTGTGTTCGTGAACTTCAGAGGGTAAAAAGACCTATTTCGAAGCCGATTTTGAGGTGCCAAATATTAAACAAGCTTCTGCAACTATTTAGATGCGTCTCACCGCTAGCTTTCATTTGAGTACTTGCGGAGCCAAAACGGACTTCGTATGAGGAAGTTATGCCTATTTTACTGAACAGTGCACAAAACAGATTCCAATCCAAATTCAACTACGAGATTGAGTCTAGATAGATCCGAATTTTGTTTTTTTCTCCTCTTTTGTTTTTCCTCACACTTTTTTTCTTTTTCTTTCTTTTTTTTTTCTCTGACTTTTTTTACTTTTTTTCTCTCGTTTTTTCCTGTCTTTTTTTCTCTCTCCCTCTTTCCAAAACAAACTAGATAAGATGTAGATTGGATCAAGCGAAGATGGGAACAATCTCAACTATGATTATGAAAATGAACGGTGGGTAGAACATGGAGGAAATTGATGGATGGGTGGTGGACAGCGGAAGGGATAACGATGCAGCGGCGGCGTGACTAATGTGAACAGAACTCGAAACTCTAAAAGAACTAGACACTAAGACCAGCAACTCGACACGATGATGCAACCGATAATTCAACTTGAAAGCAATGAAAAGAAAAATGCAAAGGCTCAGACTGGCTTGGACAAAGGATGAATAGATCTAACTTTTTTGTGGCTTTTTCTTGGACAATAGGTAAGAAAATAAATCTAATCTAGGAAAAACTGAAAATTCTTACCGAGCAACCTGAAAACTGATACCACTTGATAGAGGCGAGGGTGTCCCGATCTTTCGATGAGATGATAACTATCGATTTGGTGGAGACGACTTTGACGATCCGACTACAAACATGCATGACGTTGCGCCTTAGCAATCGCTAAACCAATCTACTGAGGTTACTGACAATGCCGGAAGCATGGTCAGCCTAACCACGAAGGTCTATTCCTACACGCAATCGAAGAACGAGCAAGAATATGATAAAGCAATCTGAATATTGCGGATATATATGAAGTATTGATAATGGTGGGGATCCGTAAGCGGTCTTGGTCTTGTCGTTGGACACAAACAAAGTACACGAAGTTGCAATGACTAACTTTTAACTAAACAACTCCCGAGGAAAAAGCTACTAGATGGATCTACTTATATAGGAGCAAGGGCTGGCGGCCAAGGAGGTGGGAGGACGTTCTAAGGCAGCCTAAAACTAACCCTAGGTCGTACAAGGCTCATGGGCTCAAGTGGAGGTGGTGCAACACATTTGGACTTGTTGTTTGACTCGGATTCTGCTGCAGCGTCAGATTGTTTTGCCAATATCTCAAATAATCAACAATTATGTTTAAAATGTAAGAGGACAAGGGGTCTCCTTGGCGCACTCCCTTCGAGCTCTGAAAATAGTGCCAGTCATTTTCTTTAGTTTAGCACCGAAGGTGTTCCTCCAAAAGAAATCTTTCCAATCGACTCCACCAATTTTTTGTCAAAGCCACTAATTGTATGGCAATCTAGCAGAAACTCCAAGTTTACCTTCTTGTATGCTTTCTCGAAATCGAGCTTAACCATAATACCAATTTTTTCATTACCATACAAATGATGGAAAAATAAATTTCATGTAAAGACATAATACAATCCATAATATATTGATTTTAATAAAACCATTTTGATTTCTATTGAATGGAATGCAACGAAAGTCTCAACTCGAACAGTTAAGACCTTAGTAATTAGTTTGTAAATTTATCTTACAAGGCATACAGGTCTAAATTGTCGTATCTTGTTTGCATCGGAGATGTTTGGTAACATATTCATGATCTCGTAGTTCAAGCATTGTACATCAAGTTTCTCATTTTTTTGGGGGTACATCAAGTTTCTCCTAGTGGAAATGAATAAACAATCTCATTACATATATTCTAACCACATCCCAACAGTAGTGGAAAAATTATATTGGAATATTATCAGCGCCAGCAGCCCAATTAGGTTTCATTGAGAACAACGCATGCTTTACTTCATTTTCGAAAAAGGGGCTAGTAAGAGTAAATTTTTCCAGATCAAACAACTTTTCACCAAATTTCAAGAATATGTCCAGATTTGTGTTCTTCACATTTTTCTGACTAAATTTCCTATTTAAAATATTTACATCTGAGCTACTGTGGAATTTTTTTGATTTATGCAAGTTTTATCAATATTCTGAAATTAATAAAGGCGGAGAATAATGTAAAAATTTATGGGCCAAAACTAGAAAAAGGCTGGCTATACTGTGCCTTTGAGCAAGCCATATGTATACTGCCCTCACTGTTATTTTACTCTCCTGAGCGAGGAATAACTAAATCTCCCATGGGATACAGCCCATCTACCCATAGGTGTGGGTAGGTGGGTTATTGGGTTATGTTAAGTTAGGTGACACGAAAAGGGATGTTTAGTACACTTTTTCATATAAAACTTTATTATTTAACTAACTATAGCACATTCATATGTAATCGTCTAGGGTTGCTAATTTTTTTACTCGTTTGGGCATCAAACAAACTCCGACTGACATGCAATTAGAATGTAGCATGTCTAGACTATAATGAGGCCACACAAAGTAGTTCAAGTCATTTGAAGATCACTTTACATCTATTTTGAAAATATCCCCATTTATTAAATAAATTGTGTTTGCACTATGAGTAGCTGTTATCGGAAGGATAAAATCATGAAATAATTTGGGTAGCTCCCAAATATATCATGAAGTCCAGAGGCAAGGTTTGGGGAAAAGCCTATGTGTGTACTTGTTCGCCATTTAATAAAATACTAAACTAAAATATGCAAATAATTAATTTAATTCAGTGCATATATCACCATGCAGAATAATGCACGATTGCATACACAGAACTGTCATAGAACATCGGGAGCCGAACGTTGTCTGCAGCTTTAACTAATGCATATGTGATCAGCAGTCACCGCCAATATTCGGTGAGAACTCCTAGAGTACTGAGGGGCCGCCGCCCCAGCATCGATGTTTCATCGTGTATGCCTCAATACCCAAGTCCACCACAATGTACTTTTAGGTTGCGCTTCCCGTGCGAAAAGTTTCTCCTAGTGGAGATGAATAAACAATTTCATTAGATATATTCTAACCACCTCCCATCAGTACTGGAAAATTATATTGGAAGATCATCAGTGCGAGGAGCCCAATTAGGTTTCATGGCGAAGGAAGCATGCTTTATTTCATTTTCAGAAAAGGGGCTCGTAAGAGTAAAGTTTTCCAGATCAAACGACTTTTCACGAAATTTCAAGAATATGTCCAGATTTGGGTTCTTCACATTTTTCTGATTAAATTTCGTATCTAAATATTTAAATCTAAGCTACAGTGGAATTTATTTGATTTATGCAAGTTATATCAATATTCTAAAATTAATAAAGTCGTAGAATAGTATAAAAAATCACGGGCCAAAACTAGAAAAGGGCTGTCTATACGGTGCCTTCAGGCAAGGCGTAACTATACTACCCTTACTGCTATTATACTCACTTGAGCGATGAATAACTAAATCGCAACGGGATACAATCCGTCTACTCATAGGTGTTGGTAGGCGGGTTATTGGGTTTTGTTAAGTTAGGTGCAGCAAAAAGGGGCCTATTTAGTACTCTTTTGAAATAAAAAACGTTATTAATTAACCGACTATAGCCTTTCAAATTTAATTGTTTGGGGTTGCTCAATTTTTTTAATCGTTTGGGCATCAAGCAAACTCTGATTGATGTGAAATTTGAATGTAGCCTGTGTGGACTATAATGAGGCCAGCCAAAATAATTCAAGTCATTTGAAGATCACTTTATATTTTTTGTGAAAATATCCCCATTTTATTGAATAAATTGAGTTTGCACTATGAGTAGCTGATACCGGAAGGATAAAATCATGAAATAATTTGGGTAGCTCCCAAATATATCATGAAGGCTAGAGGCATGGTTTGGGGAAAAGCCTAGGTGTAGAACACCGAAATAGAGAAGGGGTGTACTTGTTCACCATTTAATAAAATAATAAACTGAAATATGCAAATAATTAATTAAATTCAATAATTATATCAGCATGCCGAAAAATCCATGATTGCATACACGGAACTATCGTAGAACATGGCGACCTGAACATTCTGTGCAGCCTTAGCTCATGCATATGTGGCCAGCAGTCACTGTGGCAGAGGCTGGTGATGACAACGGCGCCAAATCTCGGCGAGAACTTTTAGAGTATTGAGAGGCTGCCGCCCCAGCATCAATGTTCCACCGCCTATGCTTCATCACCCAAGGCCACCACAATGTGCTTTTAGGGAGCGCTTCCCGTGCGAAAAGTTAACCTTGATGACGGCGGCAGGGTGGGGAGAAGAGAGGAGACGGCTGGAGCGGCGACCTTTTAAGGATTGCCCGAGTGACATGGTTGAAGAAAAGAACTGAACAAAATGGTCTAGCCATTAAAAATCTTAACCTTCAAATCCTCACATATATGAAACACAGTGAAACATGCCTTAGCTGTCTATTTTAATAACAAGATAAAATATTTAATTACCACACAAAGTATGGTTTCACATATATTTATCATAGCAAATGGACGATAACAATAAATCTGGATGGGAGTCTCTGCAACTTGTAATTACACGATTGTTTTAACAAGCTTTTACAGTATGAAACAGTTGTATAACAAAGGATATGATGGTCCCTATGGCCCCATACGAAGCATATTGTTCCAGCTGCCGACGTTATTCTGCGTAGTGTTCTTCCTTTCTTTTTCGAGGGGAGTGTAGTTCTGGTTTATATACTGGAGTGGTAATTCGTAGCCGGGTATCGATGTATGCACCCGGCCCATGCTCTGTCCGGCTGGTCCGCTGGTCGGATGCACTCCCAGACGGCACTGTTGCACTTGAACCCAGATCCAAACGCGATCATCCATACCTTGTCGTTCTTCCGCATCCGGCTCTTGGCTTCGATGTACGCCAGCTCGTACCACACCGTGCTGCTCGACGTGTTCCCGAACCGGTGAAGCGTCATGCGCGACGCCTCCACTTGCTCGCCCGACAGCCCGAGGCTGCTCTGCACCTTGTCAATAACCGCGCGTCCGCCGCAGTGCACGCAGAAGTGATCGAACGCCTTGCGGAAGCCGGGGACGTGCGGCTTCACGGTCAGCCCCAGCTTTCTGGCCACAAAGGACATGGCGAAGAGCAGCTGCTCGGAGAGAGGGAGGTCGAGGGGCGCGACGGCTGTGATGTTGGCCTTGAGAGCGTTGCCGGCGACGGCCAGGAGATCCTTGGACAGGTTGACACCTAAGATGCCCTCGCCGTCCTCTTCCTGGAAGACGCACGAGTAGGAGCCGTCGTGCGTGCCCGTGGTGCTCGTCCGGACGAGGTGCGCGAGGCGGAACCGCGCCCTGTCCTCCGATGTGGACAGCAGCACGGCCGCGCCGCCGACCCGGAACAGGACGTTGGAGAGCTGCATGGGCCTCTCCTTGCCGGTGTAGAAGTTACAAGTGATGATCTCCGTGGAGACGACCAGAGCGTGCTTCGTCGCGCCGTGGCCCGTTGCTTGCAGCAGGCCGGCCGCGAGACCCACCGAGATCACGCCGGCGCTGCATCCCATACCGGAAAGGTTTACGGCGCGGACGTCATCACGGAGCTTGTATCTGTTCACGATCATGTCGCTGATGGACGGCACTGGGGCGAAGACGCTGCAGTTTACTACTAGTATGTCGATGGCGTCTGCGGTGACCACCGTCTTGGCGAATAGGTCGTCGATGGCCGAGAAGACGACCAGCTCCGCCTCGCCGCGGGCCTCCTGGAAGCTATTCTGTGCCGGCATATACAGGTCGCCGGGGGCAGTCTGGTCTCCTCGCCGATGCCGCTGCTTTCGAGCATGCGCGTCATGAAGGAGACGTTGTGGTCATCGAACAATGGGTTGAGGTGAATATGCTCGATGAACGTGGCTTTTGGCATACGACAGCTGCCAATACCCTGGAAGCAAGCATAGTGGATGAGGTATACGGCACGGCGGCGCTTCATCAGCTGTGTGGCCACGGCGCCGGCGGCCAGGAGACCGGCCAGGACGAGGTGGATGGGTTGACAGGCGCGGAGACAGCCTAATACAATGTCAACAATGGCCACGAAATGCCTCGGATGAGGTATCAAGGCCATAATTTTGAATCGCTGAAACCGTGTAGAGTGGGTGCGTCTAGGTCTATGTTCTGTAAAGGCGCACACGTTGCCGAGTAAGCTACTTGTGCCGCTGTGCGGTGCTCTCATTTATGGGGAGCCACGCTGCTCATCGGACGTCATTCACGGCAGCCACGGTGCCCTGCCGCCGTGCTCTCATTTATGGAGAGCAACGCGCGCGTCTTACAATTTTTTTATTTACAAAATGATAATTTATCTTTCTATTATATAAGGGCATCTCCAATACTGACCCACAAATTCGCTCCCGCATCAGTCCGCGTACTTCATCCAAACCGGCTGATTTTTTTTTTGATCAAAAGGGGTTTCCCCCCACCCCACTTTCATAGAAAACGAGGAAAAAGCAAGTCACGGAGACTGTTACAAGCAATCGGGTCTACCTGAAGTGGCAGACCAGAGAATAGAAACGCAACCCTACATCACAAAGCGCTAGACCGAAAAACTAGAACATGAAACGAGAGTCTAATGCCACACAGGGCAAACACCGAAAACCATCAGTCAAGCAATACAAAATGTTTCTCAGGGAGTAGGACGACCATCAGCTTCCTCGCGTGAGATCATCCCGAATGAGCTTTCAGCAAGATTCCGCCCCGTGTCCTCTTTGCGCACGCTCTCAGTTCCCAACCCAGGCGATCCTGAGCAGCTCGCCTCTTCGACGGTCCAGGAGTTGGAGGCAGCATCGTAGCAGCACTGATTGATCGCCCCCACAGAGAATCTTCCATTGGTGTAGAGAAGAACTGATCCTCTCCAAGATCACACGAGTGCTTGTCCACGGTATGCCCTGAAAACAGATATCATTACGCATAGTCCAAATGCCCCAAATGGCAGCAACACAAGCAATGTTAATAACAGTTTTCTTGTTGTTCATATTCCAGAAAGAAGATAACTCAGTCATATTTTTAGGAACACTGAAACCAAAAGTATCAGCAACATCAATCTAAATCTGTTTGGCCACCACACATTCAAAGAACTGGTGATGAACTGACTCATTCTCATTACAAAATAAGCAGTTTAAGTTCTCCACCACCCTCCTCTTGTTCAGGTTGTCTCTGGTGAGAATTTTATTATTAAAAGCCAACCACACAAAGACCAAGTATCTGTTAGGTACAATAATTTTCCAGAATTTTTTCCAAAGTGGGGTATAGACCCCACCCCAGTTAATCATGTTGTAAAAGGATTTGACCGAGTAGATACCTGATGGTTCCAACAGCCAAACAGGGTGATCCTCCTCATCGGTCAGGTTTTTGGTAGAGATGATCTGAATCAGATCGTGCCATTATTTCATAAATTCAGCATCTACACATCTACTAAAAGTGAGCTTTAGGGTGGTACCATCCCACACCTCGGACACTACACATTGTTGTTGTTGACAAATCTCATATACCTCCCAAAACTGAGTTTTCAGGGAAGAATCCCCCACCCAGGTGTCATCCCAGAAGATGATCTTATCACCGTTATCCAAATTCCATCTAAAAAAGGTCTTATGCCTTCAAAAGCCCAGGTAACCCCTTTCCAAAAAGGTGAGCCCACACCCTGTTTAGCCCACAACAAATTAGGTTTTTTCGTTCTATATTTATGATCTAGCAATCTCACCCAGTCTTTATCCTGATTCGTGAAATATCTTTTAGCCCAAGAGGCTAACAAAGCCATGTTAAATTGGTACCCCCAAGCCACCAAAGTCTTTTTTCAGAAAAATCA